TCTGATGACATTCCTTCATGCATTCTCTTGTAGTCTCTATGTCTGATGGCTCCTAACTGGAGTCGGGACATCCGTTTGGTAATTCTTGAATTGACTTTTCCTCTCGGGGAAAAGTCAGGATTTGATTCACTTGAATACCATTTAGATTTTCCTTTATCAGCCATGTTGATGGTGATTTCAGGGAATTCGTCGTCTTGGACGGTTGATCTTCTCTTGCGGAAATGTCTCGGCTTAGGCTTCGACATTTTGGTGAAAAGACTATGGAATACCGAGACTCTTCGTGGGATGGCTTCTCGTTTTGTGTAGTCACATTCCGACTGTACTACTCTAACGAGTCACATACAGAAACAATGAGAGCTCATTTCTCGGACAATCCTCTTTCGCGTTTTGTTCACAACCCCAGCTTGATAGTATGATTCATCAGTATGATTGCCGGAAAATCATATCGTCTGTTGGTATGACCTCTCAGGTATAACGATGTCTTTTGGCAAACACGTCTTCTTCTGGGGGTGTAAAACCTTGTTGGCATTCTCAGGACAAATTATTGTTACCTTTGAGCGATCCAAGGTTATTTCAGGAGTCACACGTTTGGAACTACCCCCTTGCGGGTGTGGAGTCTTAACGGGCTCCGAATGCTGATTTTGCACAACTCCGGACTTTGGAATTCAAACTTTGCAGAGTTTTGGTGGTTCTTTGGCCACCGTTTTCTTGTTTCTTTCTCGTCTTTGTTGTAAGAGAGAACGGGCATGAGCAGTGTTTGCACGACACTTTTGTATTCGTTCTTTGAGGGTCGAATGAGCCCTTTTGACAAAAGTCCATTCATCCGTCGTTAGTTTAGCAGAGATATGAGTGATTGGTCATTGAGATAACTGAACCACTCGATGCCTCCTCGATTCTAAGTCCGTATAGTAACGAACTCCATCGGTTTGTTCCAAGGCCTTAGCCAATTAACGAGCGTGACGTTGGCGTCGCCTCTGACGAGCCCTCTTCGTCAGAGTTGACGAACTTCGATCGAACGACTCCTTAATTGGGGAGAAATGATCATGAACAGGGCTTCCGGCTTTGAATGTTGCCAGAATAATGTCGCGAGGCATGACTTCAACAATGATTGGGTAAGAGGCTTCACTTTTAGCCTTCTCTGGCGTATAGGCCTTCTTCAATGATGAGATCCTCTTGTACTCACGAGATAATGAAGATCTTGAAGAGGGCGATGAAATATATTCCTCAAACTTGGTTTGGTCGAATTCATACTCGACCATGGATTCAACCGGTATCTTGATTGGCTGCGACACAACGGTCTCGGCAGCGAGACCGTTGGCTCCCACTGTGGTCGCCAGTTTGTTTTCGTCAAAAGTTGGTCGATTACAGATTCAAAGTAAAATTAGTCTTTTTATAAGACTTTCTTACACAATGAAAAAAATAAAAAATACAACTCTCTTCAAACAAATGCAACGGGTATTTATCGCCCGCTGCTTGCGTGGGATCTTGGCCTGTGACGGGGACATTGATATCTGTGGACCACCGCCGATCAGATCTGATTGCTGAAAAATTGGGCAGAACTTCGTTGATTCGCGAAGGAATTAAGAAACAGTAGCACTTATCTCGGCAACGGTGAGATAATTGCTCTTCTTAAGATTATCGCAACGGGATAATCTTAAGGAACGGACTCGGGGAACTGCAGATCTGACGAGCTCCTCTTCTTTATGCCGACGAACTCGATCAGATCTCTACTCCTCCGGGCCGAGACACCTTAGGGTGTCTCCCACCGTGCCGAGACACCTTGGGGTGTTTCGGTTGGGCCGAGACACTTCGGGGTGTCTTAGCTTAGGCTGAGACAGTCCGTTTTGGATGCTTGTCCATTTCCTCCGTAACTTCTTCATCCGAACTCAGATTTGAGTGATTCAAAGTACGTTGGAAAGCCGGCGAGGATATTTATAAGCTCTGATGATTGGGTCATTGTGGGGTAAACTTGGATATGAGAGACATTTTCCCTTTTGTAAGCGACGTGGGGCTCCCGATTAGTTCGTATCTGTTTGCGTCAAAAGTTGGTTTTGCTGTAGAATTCATTATATCTTTGTTCGATTACAATAAATTCAAAAAAAAGATAGCCCTTTTATAAGACCTCTTTTACACAACAAAAGAAAAATTACAACTCTTGAGAAACAAACGCAGGATCGTTGTTTGGATCGCTGCTTGCGTGGGATCTTTGCCTGTGCCGGGAGCGCTTTGACTCGTGGACCACCAAATCACAGATTATGATTGAATCGTGAGGGGTTTAATGATTCTTTCTTCGTTTATCGAAGTGAGAATTTGAAACGATATCTTATCAAAGTAAGATAGTCGTTCTTCTTGAAATCAAGTCAAAGCTCGAATCTCAAGGAATTGCCAGAAGCTCAAGAACTCTGCTCTGTCTGCTCTGAAATGAGCCTAAAAAACGATCAGCCCCCCAAACAAATGATCACATGGGGGTATTTATAACCCCTGGACGAATAACCACTTCCGAGACAGTGTTTGCTAAAATTTGACTTAAATACCCTTTTGTTAGGCAAATGCGAGAATTTCCTCCCAAAGTTCTCATGCAACACCGACATGTTGCTTTAGAATTCTTTTAAACATATTTTTTTGTATAATTTATTGTTAAAACTACTGTAAGTATGTTTTAGACATACTCTATTTCAAAGTGGGATTTAACAGTAAATTTAACAAAAATTAAGAGTTAAAATATTATTAAATTAATATTTGAGTGTAGCAATGAGAATTTTCATGGAAATTTCTCAGGATTGCACAACTGAGGATATCAAAGTGTAAATTGAATAGGTTAGGACTAATAAGTGCTACAAAAAATAACCAAGGGTGGAAACTATAGGGTATGTAAGTTTAAAATCATCTGGTATTTTTCAAAGCAATTTATATCTGGCAGATCATAGATACACAAGCGTCCATCTCCTTATGTATTTCTATGTCTTATTAAAGGGTTAATTGCATATTGGTTCATTAAAATCATCCATAATTACAAATTAGTCTTTTATATCTTAGTACTTTCTCATCAGCCCCTCGGAACTGTATGCCTCTTCTAATTCCATCCATCTAGTTTAGAATTGTAAGTCTGGAGAGAGATATTCCATCATCTTTAATGGAATGAGAGGTTTTACTTGTTATACTTTATTCTAAAAATCACTAACCCATTTCTTAACGGGTTTAAATCCATTGCTCACTGATCCTAAAACCCAAACCCAAAGTTCTTTTTCCCCAGCGATCAAGGGCACCCTAAAATCCATTTTAGGACTCTTTCTATGGTAATATTCCCTCTAACCCTATATCATCTTCTAAAATATCAACTATATTCGTTTCTCATCATCCCATCTAATGCTCTAAAGTAAAAAAAAGTTGGATTTTTTTTATCTCAAACTATGTTGGATTGGTTAGAAATCTTCGTCAATTTCACTTAATTAGGGGGATGCTATTTCCCCATTCATAGAGCGACAAGAAATTGAGATCTGAGCGGCCATTGTGTTGCTTTAGGGGATAAATATACTAGATGGGGTATTTAGGTAATTGCATATGTTGTGTTAAGGTTTAACCCAACTATGGTTAGAGAAAAATATAGAAAAACTAGCAGAGGGATGAAACCGCAATAAAACTGCATACTTGAGAGACTAATGAGCAAATATTTAGATATGATGGACTACTTTTGCAATTATAGATGATTAAAGGACTAATATGAAGTTAGGACCCATTTGGATAATGGAAGTATTGGAAGTAAGAAACAGATTATAGAAGTAACTTTCAAAACTATGAAGTAGGAAGTAGTGGAAATAACAATTTTTTTGTTTGTTTCATTTATTTTTAGAAGTAGTGGAAGTAAAACTTCTTCCTCTTCATTTATTTTTTTTGGATAACATTTGAAAATATTACTAGGAAGTAATTAACACATGCTGCTTCCACAATTTTAAAGCCACGACACGCTCTTTAATTTGATCTAGCACGTTACAACCAGTTTCATGCCGCTATGACCCCTCGCCACTTGAGAGCAAGACGTTACAACCAGTTTCATGCCGCTATGACCCCTCGCCACTTGAGAGCAAGAAGAATCCTTCAACCACATAGCTTCAAAATACCCCTCGCCACTTGAGAGCAAGAAGAATCCTTCAACCACATAGCTTCAAAATAATTGTTTACCTCTCGACTACGATGAGACTCCTGATGACCATAAATTCCTATGAATCTCCAATTTCCTTCCTTCCTCGTTCCTTTGATCGTAACATCAACGTGATATTTAGACAAAATTAATAGACAAATTGTTCTCTTCATCCCAAGGAAAAAGCTGGCCGACGACCATCACAAATTACTACAAAACAATTGTTAAAATTAAGAGCACTTTTATCAATGAAAAGTTGTTAGAAGTAACTAATAAAGAAAATATTAATAAAAAAGTGTTTATTTCCTAATTAATATGCACTTTAACTACTTCCGAGCTACTTCTAAGTATTGAGGATTAGAAAAATATTGTGAAAAAAAGGATGACAAGCAGACGTCACATAAGCGCTTAAGAAAGTATTGTAAATAAATTTTTCAAAAAAACAAATATACTTTTTTGATTAAAAACAGTAGAAGTAGCCGGTACTTTTTTTTACTTCAGCTACTATTTCATAATTACTTTCCGTGTAACTTATAGATTCTTAACCAAATTCTCAAATAATATTTTATTTTGGGCTCCTTGAGGACAAAATAATCACTCCATTTCCTCCAGAACCTTCACCACCTCACAATCTCCCATCCCTAAACCCTCCCTCTCTCTCTAGGGTTTTATCCAATCCCCAACCTCAAATCCAAACCCTAAATGGGCGGCGCCTCAAAGATCCTACATGCCTCCTCTCGACCCCTTCCCCTCCTCTACCCCCGCCATCCTCCGCCGCCCTCCGCCTCGCCCGCCACTCCGCGCCGCCCTCTCCGCCGCCGCGTCCACCGCTTCCCCATTCTACCCCTCTCCCGGACCCTAAACCCCCTTCAAGCCCCAATTCCACACTCAGAGAGGAGAATCCTACAGCGATTTGGGGGCGATCAACAATTTGGGGCCGGTTTCGGCGGACGCTGTTTCGAAGGGGATTGCATGGCCTGAGTGGACGAAATTTGTGGAGAATTTGAGTGTGGGAGGGTATTCAGGGAGTGGTTGTGATGAGTTTGTGGTGGCTGAGGGCGCGCCGAGGAGTTTGCGAGGCGGGCGGGGCGTGCCTTGCGTTTGCGAGGGACCGGCCGGATGCACTGAGGTTAGGGCTTTGTTTTGGCTTAGTAATGATTGGAACTTTGTTTGGTTTGTGGCAGTTAGTGGAAGTTTGGATTTTGATCGAGTGCGTATATGTTTCTTTTAGATATGCATGAATTTTTGAGTGTTTCATTTCCTTTTAGGGAAAGATTAGAGCTTTATCCATTTAGGTTAACTCCCAAGTGTGAGTTTGTTAGAGGAAGGTATAAAACCAACAATTTACTATCTATATATAGTCTGTGGGCTAATTCAACCCATATTACCATGCTTCTGTTGTCCTGACTCCCTGTGGGTGCACTAGTCTAGTCCCGGTTGAACACTGTAATTTTGACATTAGCTGTTTAGCTCTGCTAGACTAATCCCAGGTGAACACTGCAACCTTGGCGTCACCATTCATGCCGCTCGATTGTAAATTGGAAGATTGGCTTTGCTCTTATATCATTTGTATGACACACAGAAGATCTCACACCTAAAGCTGGTTGTTAGAGAGAGAATGCCTGTATTCTCTTATAAAAGTATAGTTGAGTCTCTATCTAGCCAACTGAGACTAAATTACCCAATCATGTTCTTTTACATGCATATTTGTGATTTTTATAGTGTTTTAGATTTTGTTTTTTGGGTTAGAGAGTAAAGCTTTAATGTAAAAATTTAAATCCCATGTTTCAGTTATGTGCTTTTGTCTGGAGTATACAAAATTGGTTGCATGACGCAAGTTAACTCAAAAGTGGTTTTGGGTATAATGTTTGATCGAACAGATTGCTTGCTAAGAAGGATATTGAAGTTATCGTGGAGAAGGGATCTACCTCCTTGTTTAAGAATGGTGAGAGCTCAGCTAGGCTGATGAGGCTGTTTTTGAGCGGTGATGAAAGCACTGTAAGTATACTAGATACAAAATGTGATTTTTTTTCTTTCAAACTTTTCATTTTAACTTTAATTTGTCTTCAACTGAAACTGATAACAACTCCTTACTTTAATTTCAATAACACAATAAAACATTTTATGCTTCATAAGAGGCGTGTGTAGGTATTTTCTGGATGATTACCTGAGTGATATTGTCCTCATGCTTTAATGCACTTTTTCATTCAGAAGCCTTTTATTCATATCAGAGACAAAGACTGTATCCTGTTTCTTTTTGTTATTTGGTGATGTCATGCTTTTTGCTAACAGGCAGTTGTTCATATTGTGGAAAAATATTAGGTGTTGGAATCTGAGAGAGCACAAACTATTGATGTCATGCGGTATGTGTTGAGTTATGTTTATGATTCTCTCAGCATTCCTGATGGGATAAAGCATGAAGACACTAAACTAATGGAAGCATCTATCCGGAGCTTGTTAACTGAATTTGTTACTCTGAGCAGGCCCATTCAGGGTTCGAAATTTACTGAGTCCACTTTAGGACAGGATCCTGTTAGTTTTGAACAGTTTTCCAGGCCTCCCGGACAAAATATTGAGATGAAAAGAGGTGACTGGATTTGCCCTAAGTAAGTGGATTATGTGTACCTTATGCTTCTGATACTTGAGTGTTTTCCTCATGTACTTTCTTTATTTTTATGTGTATCTTGCTATCTTGTTTCATGGAATTTAAAATTCTGGTTCTAAGTGAACATTTTTTATGACATTTTTATAGTCATACATAACGTAAGATGTACTAGTCTTTACATAAAAGGTTCTGCAATTTTTTTTTGCTCATTTCAGTTAGCAAGCCAATCTATTATGGTTTAAAGAAGATTACTGAAGTAGAATGCTCAATAAGTCTCTTTTTATGATTTCCATTTTTCTCTATCCTTGCCTGGTTGTTTATGGCATAAATTATTCGTCAACTGAATCTGAGTCATGCAAGAGAAGTGGTCAAGGTTAAATTTTGGTTACCTTCTGTTTTATCAAATTCAAGTCAAACGTTAACCTTTAATGGATAATTGTCAATTTTGCAATAAGTCATTGAATAAGCTATCTTCAACAATTTTTGCTATCACTTTGAATGCTAAGTTAGGAATGGTTAAAAATCACCAAGATCATTTGAAGTGACTGTTTTTACCATTTATAGTTGGACTTCGCAGATCTTTTTCTAGATTGCTCATCTTCTTTTATGTCCCATCTCCTGCATCCTTATTAGACACACTTTTGTTCCTCCTATAAATTTCAACTGTCCATCTTAAATTCCTCTGTATACGAGCTTATTCTGCTTTCTTTGTCCATCACTCAGATTTTTAAAATATCTCAATTATTTTTAGTATGGACATTGAGGAGAACGTAAATTATATAGTGGTTCAGTTTGAATTAAATAAGCATGATTGGTATGCGCTCAAAAGTTAACTATTTTGCTCGTCATTTTTCCTTCTATAGCACAGATGGTTGCTCTTTAAAAATATGCATCCAATGCATTGTTTTTTTTTTAATTGTGCAGATGTAGTTTCATGAATTTTGCGAGGAACTCAAGATGCCTTGAATGTGAAGAGGTGCGGCCTAAAATGCAGCTGACTGGTGCAGAGTGGGAATGCCCTCAGTAAGCCATTTTTAATGTGTTCGTGGACACTGTCCAGAGTTTTTAAGACTTTTTTGTGAATCTGATCGTTGTCGAAATTGTTTACTGTTGCAGATGTGAGTTCTTTAATTATGGGAGGAACATGTCATGCTTAAGGTGTGATTGCAAGCGTCCTGCAGAAATCCCATCAACTGCTCCTTACGGTAAATCCTCTAGTGTAGATCAGATTCTTGGTAGAGGCAACACCGATAAAGCTGATCTTGAGCAGAGGCTTGCTGCCAATGATGAGAAAGCAGAGAGATGGTTCAACAAAGTTTCCCAACTTGGTGATAAAGCTGATATAAACAGTGCTGACGAGGACTTTCCAGAAATCATGCCTTTGAGAAAGGGGGTGAATAGATTTGTTGTTAGCACTAGGAAGACACCACTAGAAAGGAGATTGGCTAATTCTCCTCAGTCTGATACACCATCTGAGTCTTCAATTAATGAGAGTTTAGACAGGATTCTTGGTCGTACCTCGACTCCACCGGCGGCCGAAGAGGCAAATTATAGACAGAGTAGTGCTAAGACTGATCCTGGTTATGTTCCTTTTGTCCCCTTGCCACCAAATACTTTTAGCAAACCAAAGAGTTCGAATAATGAAGATTCATCTTCAGCAAGCCCAACTGGAAGCAATAACTACAATGAATCATCTGATGTACCCGATGACGATTTTCCCGAGATCATGCCTATGCGCAAAGGAGAGAACCGATTTGTTGTCAGCAAGAAAAAAGACCGATCTTTGACATCGCCACAGTATAAAAGAAGGCTAGCCATGGAGCAGGCCAATAAATCTGACTTTGTTCCTTTTGTGCCGTTTCCTCCCGGTTACTTTGCTAAGAAAGACAAGCAACCAGAAGCTACTGCTCCTTCCAACATTGAAGCAATTCCACTGAATCCTGCACCATCAGAAAAAGCTCAGGCTGTTCCTGAAAAATCCGACAATACTTCACAGCAACCTGAAACTAGGAGTTACAGTCAGAGTTATAACGCTTCACAGCAGCCTGAAAGTCGGGACTACAGTCAGAATTATAACACCTCACAGCAACCTGAAACTAGGGCTTATGGACAGAATTATAGCACCTCTCAGCAACCTGCAACTAGGAGTTACAGTCAGAGCTATAACACCTCTCAGCAACCCGAAAATAGAGGTTACAGCCAAAGTTATAACAACCCACAGCAAAGTGAAACTAAAGGTTACGATCATAGTTATAACACCAAGCAACCTGAAAATAGGGGTTATGGTCAGAGTTATAACTCCTCACAGCAAACTAAAAGTAAGGATTACAGTCAGAGTTATAACTCCTCTAAGCAAACTGAATCTAAAGGCTACGATCAGAGTTATAACATCTCCCAGCAAACAGAGAGTACGGGTTACAGTCAGAGTTATAACTCTAAGCAAACTGAAACAAAGGGTTACAGTCAGAATTATAACTCTCGGTTTTCTGGAAAAAGCTTGGAAGGGTCAGCTGTCACAGAGCCGGATCCTTTGGATATGTCAGAGGAGGCAAAAGCAGCGAGATGGTTCAGAAGAGCAGCACAAATAAAGAATATATCGGAGCTGAGTGAGATTCCTGATGAGGATTTCCCGGAGATAATGCCAATGAGGAAAGGGGTTAACAGGTTTGTTGTGAGTAAGAGGAAAACACCTTTAGAGAGGAGGCTTACATCTCCTCAGTATAGAAGGAACCTGCCCATTGTGAGGTCTGAACCGGAGAAAGATGCCAGCTGAATTCTGAGTATCTTCAGATCTTATGATTTTAGAGGTAAAAAATTTTGTTCTTGATAATTAATGTCGAATGTCTTGTAATGCAATAATTTAATCCTTGAGAAAAAATGTGATAGATATAAATCTTGACATGGTTTTTATCTCCGATGAAGTGTGTTCTTTAAGTGGTTTAAGGTTGTGGTTGAGATGATTTTTAGTTGGAAAAGCATGTTGTGGGATGTGAAATTTATTCATATATGCAATCTCTCATACAACTTTATTAGCTTTATGTGGGCTAAACTCGAAACTTGCACTGTTATATTGCTGGGCAATCGGGAAGAAATTGTTGAGATACCCTGTTCTCTGTTTTATAATTTTGTACACTGTTGTATTGCTGGATAATCAGGAAGAAACTGTTCAGGTACTGTTTTATAATTTTCCACTGATTGTGCAGGTATGTAGTGGCTGCAGAAAAATTGAATTATTGATCATTTTATAGGGATTTGCATAATTCATTTTTTTCTGCATTGCTGAACAACCAAGGAAAAAAGAACTGTTTTTGTACCCTGGCTCTCTGTTTGTATAATTTTCAACTGATTGAACAAAGGCTGCATATTGACTACCGACAAATTGGATAATAGTTTGTGTTAGAGCATCTCCAAGGGATCCTTTGGATATCCCTTAATTTAGGGAGAACTTTAAGGGAGGGGTTGGTTCTCCTCCAATGGTTTTCCTTTAAAAGTCTCCTACCCCTTAATTAATTATGTTTAGTTTTTTAATTTTATAGATTAGGATTTAATTAAATATGTGGTTTATTTATAAATGAATAAATAATTCAATATTAATAACTAACAATAACTAATTAATTAATTTAGATTAAAAAATAACCTTATATAATTATTAAATTAATTAATCATATTAAAATTTAACAAATAATTAATTTAGATAATAATTAACTATACATTAACTAAATTATATTAAAAAATAATTATATTATTTTAAATTAACTATACACTAACTAAATTTAATTAACTATAAATTAAATCTAAAACAAAATATATTATTATAAAATTATAAGGGGAAGGTTAAGGGACTTTAACCTTCCCCTTAATTTGGGGAGGATGTTAAGGGATATGTGGGTGAAGGGGGAAATTTCCGGCCCTTGGAGCTCATCTCCCTTAAAAAACCCCAAATTTAGCTAAGGGGCCGGATTTTTCCGGCCCCTTGGAGATGCTCTTAGGGATAGGTTTTTTTTTTGTTTTTCTTTGTTGTTGGCTTTTTTTTTTTTGGTTTTTGTTTGTTGTTGGGGGGGGGGGG